CACGCACACACACACACACACACACACACACACACCTAAAATCAGTTTAGTCGGACTACAGCTCAGATTGATGAACTATCATTTACGACTTGGCGTTAGCTGCAGGGGCAGTTTGTTGCGTGATACAGGATCACAGAGACGAGTTTTTTACGTGGATCGGTTTGTGTCTCACTTGCACGCCGTCATCCTGCACCTGTGTGGGGGCCGCGCTATGAAGAACCAACGTTTATAAATTCCTGGGCTTTGTTGGGAGGGTTGTCGTGGTCATAGGTCCGTGTGTCTGTTCATCCATACAAATGCATATTTACATGCTCGCTCCCCCTGTTACAGTAATATAGGGTCTGATTGTGCACGATAAAGTGTTGGGGGATGGTTTCCAGGCTCAGGTGTCACCCAGTGGAATGCAGACCTTTTGCCCTTTTGAGCCCGAACATGGCCCTGGAGGGTTGAGTGTCAAACCATCACCCCTGAACCCCAGCTTGTGAGGTGTCACATTACTCTGCTGGCTGCTGCCACAAGGCCAAAGGCTACAAAGGACCTAGCTTTCCGTGAGTGTGTGTGTGTGTGTGTGTGTGTGTGTGTGTGTGTGTGTGCGCGCGTGCAGCCACAATCATTAACAATGCAGTAGTCATACTGTCTGAGAGGGTTCGGCCTCAGGGGGTTGGTGAGTGTTGCCTCAATTCACTAAATCCAATAAATGAGTTTTTAATCTGGAAAACTTGGCTGATTTTTACTTTTTATGGTGATGAAATTGTTTCTTTCAGTGTAGCATCATCAACATACCAGAAATGGAACTTTCTTGGCACAAGATTAATCCAGTTCTGACCTTTTGGTTGTTTATAAATCCAAGTTTTAGTTCTGCAAACGTTGTTCAGTCCTGGCCAGAGCCGTCTGTGTACCCTACCCCTCCCCAGATGTTGGGTGGATTTCTTTTACCTCCAGGGCCCTCCACCCATATTCCTCCCTCTTAGAGTCTCTCTGTCTGTTGCTGGCAGGAGGGCATGACAGGGAAGACCTCTCAGCCAGGCTGAAGGGGTTTGACGAGGAATGTGAGAGAACAGCCGTGTTCACTTGTACATTTACTGGCCGGCCCGCCAGCCTTCCAGTCGTCCGTCCAGACCTCTGAGTGGCTGGACAAGGGGCGCTTTTGTCCTCCTCCATCTGCTGGACTACTCCCTGCCCCACTCATGCTCTCAATCACAAGCACACACACACACACACACACACCCCTCCATCCTGTCGCTCCTCCATCCTTTCACTCTCTCCAGGCCCTCACCCTAGAAAAGCACAGCAGGTCTCCTCTGAAAATAGAGCTGGTGATGTTGGCTGGGTCATGTCTGTTCTTAGATATTAGCCAAATAATACATTTTCATTTGATACAAGAAATCCAAAATCAACAGTAGCTCATGCAATGAATACTTTAAACACATGAATAGATCATTCAGTCTGGTAACTGTTTTTGCACCAAAGGTCATCTTTAATTTATCTTTAAGTGTCTCTAATATCCTCCATCTGTGCCCATAATCATAGGTTGATTTCATTTTAGCTGTAATGTTACTTAGCTAGCTAGCTAGTTGACCCCATTTTCCCTTGGTTATTTTCTATACCCAGAGTTGTAAAGTTTGTTTTTACCTACTTGCTGACAGTTTAAGCAAAAAAATTCTACTACTTTAGCTAGTCTTCCATGAGCACTGCCCAGCCTGAAACAGCTCTGGACAGCGTGGTTTGAGTTGGCCCATCCGAGTGTGGCTTTGTTCCCATGCCAGCGCCGTGACAGAAAGTGGATAATAGCATGAAGGCATCAGTAAACAGTGTAAGGTTACTTTTATGCTGCACAGTTTCACAACTCAGCACAGAAATAGTGGTGTTGCTGGACATTCTTCTCAGTTGAATGGCTTTTTGTCTGACGCTGAACCAGGAGATCGCTGCAGGCAGTGAAACAGAAGGCAGAAAACTCTGGAGCAAACAGTAACTCCGCCCCCTAGCCAATCAGCTACCAGAATCATGATGCCAGCCCAACTCAGCCTTGCCAGGTACCTCAATGGAGCAGGGACAAAAAATTGGGGAGAAAGTAGAGAGACAACACCGAACCGTGCCCGTGGAAACAGTGGTCGGGCCGAGCTGCATCGGTCCGAGTGACTCTGTGTCGTGCTCCTGGACAACTACCTTTGTGTATAGGAAATAACCGGGAAAAAAGAGTGGAATCAGAAAATCAACACAGAACGAACTTAACAAATGACCCACACTGGTATAGCGCCTTTCAGAGTCAGAGGACTCCAAAGCGCTTTAGGGGCAGCAGTAGCTTACTCGGTTTAACACTGCAAGCATCAGCGGAGCGGAAAGGCAGCGAAGCGGCACCACTTCGAATAGAATCCAATTATAGTCTATGGAGTGTTTTAAACCAGCCGCAACGCGGCAATTTCCAGGCACGTCTCAGAAGCGGCATGCATCATTCCCTGATTAGTATTTCCCTGCTGCCACACACCTGGCTTAAATAAGTGAGTGATTAACAGCCATCTGCAGCACTTGATGTCCTCCTGAGAAGGCAATGCAAATATTTAAATCGGGTGTGCTGAAGCAGAGACACAGATAACATGCAGGGCAGTGGGCCCTGAGGACCAGGGTTGGGGAACACTGCTTTAAACTGCTCTGAGGTTTTTTACCAGCTGGTGTCAAACTACAAATGCAGATGCTGCAGCCTTGGCTAGCCGGAGACACGACGACCTCTCAAAGTCATTGATTGTGAACAGCAACTACTTCCCTCTTTTGTTTTTTTTTAAGGAGGAAAACTGACAATCTTCCAGCAGGCTGTGGATTAAATCTGTTTCTGTGTAACCTTCCTTCCAACATGATGACCTGGGGTCCAGCATGTTTTAGCTCCAACACACCTAATTGATTGGTTGATTCACCTGTTCATCAAGCTATCAAGCTCTTGTGAAGCCTGCTAATCATCTACTGATTTGAATCAGGTGTGTCTGAACAGGTAAAAAACTAAAATTAGCTGGATAGCAACACTCCGGGACCAGGGGTGTTTCTCAATGTCAAGGCACCTGGCCTTGGAGGGCGATGTCTTGTTAGGCCAGGCGCCTTGCTTACGAGGACACTCCTTCCTTGGTCAAAGAAAACGGTTAAATGGAAGTGACTTGCATCACGTGACCGTGGCTTCCACGGCGGTCACGTAACGCCACGTGACACGGGAGATAACATTATATTTTATACGTATTAGTTTCAATATAAATGTATAACGAGCCTTTTACTTTTTAAATTGTGTATATGTTTATTAAATTAAAAATATAAGTGAGTTGCTACCCGCTAGCCACCGAAGCTGCAACTACTAAGCAACTAACCAACAATAGATAACTTATTTGGATCTAAAAAACATTTTAAATTAGCTGACTTACTTTTAAACTTGAAAAATGTCCCCGATGTAGCTGCCGGCTTCTGATCCGCCGTCTTTTTGAAAATACCGTGGTGTATTCTGGGTAATTTTTGACCAAGGCTAGGCTACAAGACATCTCCCGTGTATCCTTGCTCAGCTAGCTAAACAGCTAACAAACGGAGAACACACGCCTCGGTAGAACATGAACATTGGAACACGTCTTGGCAGCTCCCAATGACGTATCTCCTAGGCAACTGGGGCGGGGCCAAGGCATCAAGGCAAGGTTCTTTGGCATTGAGAAACACCCCAGGATTGCCTTACATTGCATTAAACGTCAAAGGTCAAGGTCATGGCATTTGACCTTTACTTTGCATTAGACTGTTTCGTGATGGCTAAGGTTGCTTGGGCATCCAGTTAGGATGCTTCCTGGACGCCTCCCTGGTGAGGTTTTCCGGGCATGTCCAAACGGGAGAAGGCCCAAAGGAAGACTCAGGACATGCTGATCTCTCTCAGCTGGCCAGGGAACGTCAGGATTCCCCCGGAGGAGCTGACCCAAGTGGCTGGGGAGAGGGAAGTCTGGGCCTCCCTGCTTAGGCTACTGCCTCTGCGGCCTGAGACTGGATAAGTGGCCGAAAATGGATGGATGTTTTGTGATTATTTCACTGTATCGTACATGTTGATCCGTTGAGGAAAAAAACAACGAATCATTATATACCAAACCTAAAGCTCAAAGTAGATTATATTACTAGTTTGTAAATGCTGACAACAAATAAGTTCACTAAACAAGAAGATTTTTTGCATTTGTCCTTATCCGATATGTGGGATAAGCTGTTTGGAGTCTCATCAAATCCTAAGAAGCCAGAAGAGAATTAAGGAAAAGTCTAAACTTCTAAAACCACCTTCATGGTGAAAGCTGCTCCTCCTCCTCTTCCTCCTCCTGTAGACTAAACAGTGAGTGTCACTTCTTCATGAAACTGTAGGTGAGATTCCAAGTTTATGGAGACATCTAAGCGAGCTGCCTACAAAGTCTCATTCCAGATGGATGTTTTTCCACTTCAGTAATGACTGAGTAACTCAAGCTGGTCCCTGAAGGATTTGATGTCTTGACGTTGTCTTCTTACAGGCTGCTGCTTCCACTGGACCTGCACTCAGATCTCTTGAATGATTTGTTTGCATAGATTTAAGCAAAGAAAACAAATTTCATGTACGTTTTCTTAGAGACCATTTGTGCTGTGTCTGTGTAATGGTCCTATATAGTAAAGAGGAGTTTTTATTACTTAAATATAACCCATAGATTGTAATTGTCCCAGGATTACGGGGCTGCATGTGATGTGGCATGGAGGTGTGGGTGTAAATTGGGGTTCCTGCCCACCTTTCCTTTGGTTATAATCACTTTTTCGTGTGTGTCTTGTATGGACAGCTACGTAGGTGCTTGTATTCTCATGATACATTTTTTTTGTGAAACCACTGAAATAAAAAAAAAGGTGAATTACCCATTTGTTTACATTCTTTTGCTTTCTTATGATTCTTCATGAGTGTGGCGGGAAAATATTTATCTGTATTGAAAGTGTTCTCCCCTTTTAATCAAGGTTTTTCTCTTTCTCTGTCATTTCTTTTCTAGATGTTCTTGAGTTGCCCAGTTGTGTTGGTTTCTCACCCCCTTCGAGTCCCAACCCAACCAAGAAGAGCAGCTCCATCAACTGGTCCTTCCCAGACAAGATCAAGTCCCCACGCACCGTCAGGAAGATCTCCATGAAGATAAGCCGGAAGCTCAGCGTCAAAGGGACCCAAAGCAGCGTCACGAGCAGCAACGGAAGCAGCCAGCCAGAGCCGAGGGCCCATTCTCCTCGGGCTAATGGCAGCAGGTCTGAGGCCACCACCCAGACTTCAGGACCACCTCGGTTAGCCTCGTCCGGGGGTGGGCAGGCAGGCCGTAACGTGATCTCGCGCTACCACCTGGATAGCAGTGTGTCCACGCAGCACAGCTTCAATAAGAAGAAAAGCAATGGCAGCTCAAAGTCTGCCAGTAAAGGCGGTTATCTCAGTGACGGCGACTCACCAGAGCTGGTGGCGAAGTCTGGGAAACACAGCTCTTCAGAGGGTAAGGGCAGGAAAGGAAGAGAGCTGGAGGGGATTGGAAGCTCCAGAGTCAACGGGACAGAGCTGGACATTGATGCTTTTCGTCATTACAGCTTCACCGAGCAGCCCAAGTGCAGCCATTACATCTCTGGACTGATGAACCTCCACTTTTATGGTGCAGAGGACCTAAAACCTCCACGCGTTGACTCTCGAGATGTCTACTGCGCCATCCAGGTGGACTCAGTTAACAAAGCCCGCACCGCCCTCCTCACATGTCGAACGTCCTTCCTGGACATGGACCACACCTTCAACATTGAGCTTGAGAATGCCCAGCACCTGAAGCTGGTGGTGTTCAGCTGGGAGCCCACGCCAAAACGCAACCGCGTGTGCTGCCACGGCACGGTGGTGCTTCCCGCGCTCTTCAGGGTGACGCGCACCCACCAGCTGGCAGTGAAGCTGGAGCCGCGGGGTCTGATCTACGTCAAGCTGAACTTGATGGAGCAGTGGCAGAACTCACTGGACGGCGGGCCGGGCGGAGACAGAGATCCTCAGGTGTTTGGCATGGAGGCGTGGCGAGTGGTAGAGAGGGAGGGCACGGGACTGATGGTGCCGCTGATCATAAGCAAATGCATCAATGAGATCGAGAAGAGAGGCTGCCAGGTGAGTGTGGGAAGTTTGGTTTTTACCTTCCTGTAATTTGCTGCTGAAAGGTGGACCATGATATTTTTGCCCATATGAAGGTGTGCTCAAAATTTGCGAAGGACCTCATGAACCACTGGACTGATTTTATTGTTGTCAGGAAACATTTTTTTGGAAGTACATCCAAAACTTGTTAGCTTGATGTTCAGTGTTGGGAGTAACGGCGTCTAAGTAAAACGGCTCTACTAACAGCATTTTTTTCAGGTAACAGAGTAATCTAATTAATTACTTTTCCAACTGTTGCAACATCATTAAAGTTACTGGGCATGTAAAGTGGTACGTAGAGGCCAACCGATATGGTTTTTTAAGGCCGATGCCGATACAGATTTTTAAAGAATTTTGTTACCGATGGCCGATATCTAAAGCTAATTATTAAGGCCGATATATTTACATTTTAGCAGCACATTGATTGTGAAAGACAACCGAACACTTACTGTGTGCTACATAAATTAAATAAGACAATACATTTATTGAACTTCAAATATAAAACTAACTGTAAATAGCTTTAAAAAATGGTGTGTTGGGGTTCTTCGGGTCCTTTCTTCAGTCTAGTAGTGGCAGTTGGCCACACAAGTGCCTGATTTATTAACTTTTTTTTATCTGCTTTTAAAAATAATTTCGGCCGATATAGAAAAAATTCAATATATTGGCCTCTAGTGGCGCGTTACTACAATGTAGTTAAATGAAGCGGCACGTTGTCAGGCCTTCTGACAGCCACACCAGTGATGTGTCGGTCGTGTACGAAACGGCTCTTTGGAGCCAGCTTCTTCTTTGAGGAGCCAGAGTGAGTGACACAGGCTCCTCCATCCTATCCTGAGCCGGTAAGAAACGGCAAACAAAGTAATTTGTAACTATAACTTATTACTTTTTAACGAGAGTATTCTAGTGAAGGTTCTCAGTCATTCAATCAATCAATCAAGCAAATTTTGTTTGAATAGCACCTTCTACAACATTATCCGAAGCCCAAGGTGCTGAACAACATCATTAAAAGAAAAACATTCCCAATACATGGGCATAAAAGCAGGATAAAAACATAAAATTGTAATTCAGGTCATTGTAATCCAAAAGGGTTTAGATGAAGGCAACCGTTGAAAACGTTTACTGCTTCTCAACCGAGGAGTGGGTGAGATGCCCAACACTGCTGATGTTACAGTTCCAGCTTCCATCCCCCGTCTTATCTGAGCTTCGTACTGGAATATTTTTTAGTTTACTTAAACCACAGTAGCTAAACACTGACCAGTTAACATTTGTACGCATAACATGTTTGGGTATAAAAACCTATAATAAAACTTTGGCTCTGACGTGAAGCACATATCCATTTTTCTCTCCTCACTGTAACGTTGTGAGATTGGGGTGTTAAATTATGACCAATAAGATGTGATAATTCTATATAAATATAGAATATCAACCTGATTGATCTTTGAATATTAACCAGAAGAATTTAGGATTCTTTGCTTATTCAGTGACCATAAACACACTTCGTATTAATTCAGACAGAGTCAAGTATATAATTATAAATGATCTTTATTTTCTAGACTAATTATAATACATGACAAGCTATGATTAACAATATGTGATGGATGTATATGTGATGTGTGATAATGGTGTAAAGTAGATGTAAATCAGAACCTTTGTATCTGGAAGAAACTGAGTTCTGGGTGTAAAATAATTTGGTCTGCTATAAACTAGAGAGTTGATTATTATTAGAATGGAATCAGATGCGATCTTGTTGTGTCTACGTACCCTTATGGAGACCCTCTTTTGGATCCGAGATGTCGGGGGGTCAGGTGACCCCAAGGCATCGGAGTTTGTAGATTAAAGGCAATACGACCAGGTCAGTCCAGAGTTGTCTCCCGGATCACAACAGTCATGAATGTTGTTCCGTCTAAAAATGGACTCTTGATCCCGGTTTCACACTGCAAGCATGAGCAGAACGGAACGGCAGCGAAGCGGCACCGCTTCAAATAGAATCCAATTATAGTCTATGGAGTGTTTCAAAGCAGCCGCGACGAGGCAATTTCCAGGTGCGTCTCAGAAGCAGCATGCCGCGCCACGCCACTAAAGATAGGATCGAGTCCTATTTTTTTCCGCGAGCCGCATCTGGACACGACAATTTCTGCAGTTCACATAGTGCGAGACAGGAAACAACACGGTTTCAGTGTAAAATCCCTGGTTATTTTCAAAATAAAATGCAACGTTGCGATGTTATATATAACTTACATCAGTACGTGTGATCGAACGGCTTTGTTTACCACCAGTTTCTTTCAAGAAGTGCAACGGTGTGATTCCTCGCGGGGGTTGTGATCTCTCGATGAGGAAGGTGTCGGAAGTCTCGAGGGATTTTAGAGTCTCGCGGGTACAGAGAGGCGCAGCGAGGAAGCCGTGCCGCGGCCAAGACTCTCCCGGTGTGAAAAGGGCCGCTTTGAAGTTCGTGAGTGAGCCGCTCCACTGCCGTTCCGTTCCGCTGATGCTTGCAGTGTGAAACCGGGGTAAGGAGTCCTAGCTGTGTCAGCTTTGCAGCGTGCAAACAGGTTTTGACTGTATGCCAAAGAGATGTATCAAAAGAGGCTGGTTCCGGATTGGCCACTCCGGAGTGTCAGCTGGAAACAAACTTACTGAGTAGCTCAGCAGTCACTCTAGTTTCAGTAATCTTGACTTTATCATTTCTGCAAATCAGAATTTGACATGTTTGTTGATGTTACCAACATCCCTCAGAAACCACACCTTCATCAGATACAAGGTGTTCTAACTCGGTGGATAAATCACCTTTAAACTTATGTGAGCTGTGACCTTGACCATAATGTATATCTTATGAACATTGTGTATGAGTGTAGATAACGATTCACTTCACAAATCAAACATTACTGATCATAACATATAAATCTTTCAGTGTAATAATAGTATTCATTTCACTTCACTGAATTAGGCGCAGATTATCCAGACATTAATATTATTATGATATAACATCTGGCTCATTCAACCATATGTTTATTTAATGATTATTTAACTTATGAGTTATAAAAGTTCATTTTTCATGAGAGTGTGCAATCCTGCAGTCTTATCAAAAGAAAGCTTTGTTTGGGAACATAGGCTGACAATCTTGTCTTCACGGAATGTCAACAAGCACTGCAGAAACTTCCGGGTGTCGGCACATAGTGCCGAAAATCCCCTTAGAAAATGGAATTATATCAGTAGATGACTTGTCACCGTGTAGGTCAATATATAGGTGAAAAGTGACCCTTTCTGGACGTTACATCACTGATCAACGGGGCTGCCGTGGGCTCCTCTCCCATCCCAGAGCCCTCACATCAGGGGGTGAGTCGTCACAATGCTGCCAAGCTCAAGAATATTATTACTCACAAATCCAGGACACCATCACTCTGTGATTCTGTAGCCTCCTTTAGCGCTCTCAAACAAGTGTAGGCCGCACTGAGGTTCACTTTGGTTTTAGTTCACCTTCAAGTCTTCAATAACACAGGAAAAGTCACTAGTAACTTTTTTGGAAAAACTGGAGGAGCGTAAGAACTCATGGGCGATGATGGCTCAGGGGTTAGGAGATTGCCCTTTAATCGGTTGGTTGCCAGTTCAAAACCAGGTTCCGTCCATGCCCTCTTTGTGTCTTTGGGCGAGACACTTTACACTCCTTGCCTGCTGGTGGTGGTTGAAAGAACTGGTGGTGCCAGTTCTCGGCAGCTTTCCTTCTGTCCCAGGGCAGCTGTGGTCACATTGTAGCTCATCACCACTACCGTGTGAATGACTGTGTGAATGGATGAATGTGTAGCTTTGGAGTCCTCTGACCCAGAAAGACGCTATACAAGAACAGGTCATTTAAAGAGCAAGTCACCCCAAAATCAACTTTTTTTGGCTGATAAACTACAAAAACGAGTGTCTAATTGTGCTGTAGACACGTGTAGTTAATAATTTGACACTTTAGTGCATCTTAGTTAAAATTTAAATATTCTGCCTAAAACTGTCAGTGTTGCGCCGTCGTCAGGTAAAAACTCTGCACTGTATTCGAATTTAAATCTGCCATCGCTATTGGCTAAGAGGTATGCTATGATGTTAACTGGTACATTATGATGTCACAATGTTGATGTGGGCCTGTGTGTGTGTATGTGTTAGCGGCTCCGCCCTCTTGGTCTGCCAGGCAACAGCATTTGTTGCATTTTTCAAACATGAAGTAAGTTTCTTGTAGGAGGTGACTTGCTCTTTAACAATCGTTATCATAAATATGGCAACAAAGTCACAAGGTTGGGCATCCTGACCTGGACAAACAAGTGACCTGCTGCAGAGGAAACCGGTGTAGAAATGCCCCTAAAACTTTTAGAGAACTAAACCTTTTCTGTTTTATGCATCCTTCTTGTTTATAATATTTTCTTGCTTTAAATTTGAATGACGTGAGTTATTTATCCACTCCTTCATAAAAATGTAAATGTCCTTTCTATGCCTCGTCAGTCTCATCAAGTCTGGCTCTGAAAACCCTCGATTATCACGGCCAAATGACAAATTGTGTGCCTCAAACAAAAATGGATTGAATTTCGAATGAAAAGACGGCTGGAAGGATACACGTGTATAATGTGCTTTTTGAATGACAGTGGAAGAATAGCTGGAGAAACAATCCCACCTCATCTCAGCATCCTTTTGGCGCTGTGTGCCGTGAGATGAGTGCTCGCCCTGCAGCCAGTAATGATGCTGAGTGAAAAGGGAGGTTGCGTGCATCACGGTTTCAGAGTTTCTGCCCTCCTGAGGCGACAGCGACTCCTATTCATTGAGGAGAATAACTCATGATGTGGTCGCATGATGGGGCAGCAAACGTTCTACTGGATCACGTGATCATCTCTTATTTTGTTTCTTTTTTCTTGTTAAAACTTGACAGTGCAGTAATGACAGCAGAGTAACCTTCCTTTTTAATGAGCAGCTGTAAAAGTGTTGGAGCGCTGTTCTTGAATGATTACTTCTGT